AAAGGTTTGCCCCATACTTCGCAATCACATTAAGCACTTTTCCACAACACTGGTCGAGCTCGCACGGAATGATGTTTCTTAGCTAAAGAAATTGTAGCTACTCGCGCTGATTCGGGTTCACCAACTTCGGGTTCAGGCAGTGCAACACTCGTCGCTCCTTCTTCCTTCTTCTTTTTCAACATTCGTTGTATGTGCTGGTATGTAAAGCGATTTTGATTCTTTTGACATGTTGTAGCAACTTGTCATTTGCTGCTTCGGATATGGTGAGCAAATGTCCCACTTGGACCGGAACGCGAATGTCCATTTGCTTAAGCGTTCGTAGTAGATCAATTGCTCCCGTCCGAAACTGTGGTCTGGGGTTAGACTCGCGTTCGACTCATTCAAGATCGTCATGGGCTGGTCGGATTGCTCCGATCATGCCGGCGAGATGAAGGTATTCGACCGGATCAACCATGTCTGCCGCTTCGGAAGAAGAAGTTCGTGAGGTCGATGCAACTGTCATTGAGGGGGAAAGTCGCTCAGGGGCATATGCAATGATCTCCTCGTTTCGGGCCGTATCCATTAATGCGGCCATTCGTCCTTGATTCAGAGCTACAGGGGCTGCGGCAGGTGAGGGCTGATTCGTTTTGGCTGCGGAAAGTCCCGGGCAAAATGCACGGGCTGTTTGCAATTGTAACACTCGATTTTTTCTGTCAGGTTAGCTGCATGAGGGAACTGCGGTGCATGTCGAGGTGCAGGCGGAGCAGACAAAAGCGGGAACGATGGAGAGGCAGGTCGAGCAGGAGTCGGATTGGGCTTAATTAGCCTGCTCATTATCTGTTCCATTCAATCCATGTGAGCCGCCTGCATTTGGACCTGATTGCTCATCCATTCAAATTGTTTGATTGTAGTTGTATGGATCATCTGTGCCAAGTGCATTATTGTTATGGTCATAGAGGCAGGATCTTGGGAGCTTCTGGATTTAACAGTTGCTACCTGTTGGTTCATTGAGAGAGTCGGAGGAGGGGGAGAAGGAACTGATGGGATATTAAAGGCGGCCCCTTCGGGAAGGTCATGATCAGGCCGGGGATAGAATCGTTCTACCGCTCGCAACCACGATCGTCGTTTCGTCGCTACATCCTGAATCGTGTTTGTAATGTCTTCGTCTCCTTGACTGATATACTTCTTTGTATCTGTCAGGTCTAACTCAAGTGCTTTCGTGATGATAGCAGATAGCTGGTTCGTTTTAGGGGGGACTTTTTTCTGCAACTTAGCTTTTAGCGTCGGACTTCGTAGATGATCGATGAACAAATCTCGGCCGGACTTTTCATCTCGCCCTGATTTGTCCAACGTAGTTTGGAATCGATCCACGAAGTCAGGCAGCAACTCCCCTGGTTCTTGCGGTCGAGTTTTGAGTAAAGACCAAGCGGCGTCTTCGCTGACCGTATCAAATTTGGCCAAGAACGCTTGCTTAAAGGTGTTCCAATCTACCCATCTGTGTTTCCTAAACCAATCATGCGCCGTGTTGCTAAGCAGCAAGATGAAGACGCGGGGGAGATCTTCCGCGCTATATCCTTGAGCTTGGACGACTTTCAACCAAGCTTTGGGGTGGGTGTGATTAGGAAAGAAAGGAAAAGCGGCGGAAATACTAACAATCACCCTGGGGGGAGGTGCGTTGCCGTCCGCCATTGGCATAGCCGGTCTAGCCTCACGAGATCTTGATCTGGTCACTGGGCGATCTCGACGAGCAGGTTGAGGACTTCTTCTACCTCTCGCGAGTTCGACTTACTATCATCGGTACTGATACGTGTCGGCTCCGATACCAACCTCACGCCCTGTGGTGTCTTCCGTTCGGAGTGCTAAGGGTGCGGAAAGAGGGCCCAGGAAGATAGCAAGATGGGGTGTGCGAAGGATTTTTGGAAAAGTGAGTGTGGGGCCACAGACAAAACTGAAATCCCTCGTGTTGGTCCGATAAAGTACGCCGCTTGCTTTCGCACGTCGCGGAATGCGCGCGCGGGCCCGGCGCGAAAAGAGAAAAATCCAAATTCAATCTAAAAAGTATTGTCAAACTTACCACCACGCTGTGGATCTTCGTTGAGAGCGGAAGGGCTTCGGTACACTCCGCGTGTCCCGTTTCCGTACCAAGTCCCGACATCGCTCGTTGGTCAGTTCTGAGTCTGACGTGGAGGGTCTCGGCCGTGTGGCTCTTTCCTTGCGCTCAACTTCACTCCGTATTCGGTAGTGAAAGTCCTTTGATTCGTAGCGATCGAATCGTTGGCACTTAGTGCACAGGATTCGAGGCCAATGGGGCGCCACTGCCGTCCACGGAATGACGATGAGCTCGTTAAATGGCAATAGTACTGAGTAAGGTGGCTAGTGCGTATCGACAATGACAAAGCCCACATCCACAAATCCAGAACAACGATTTTCGGGAGGGAAGTAATATCGTCCGCCGATCCGTGCGACAGCTTCTCGTACGTCCCACTCGCAAACACTAATCCCGTCGAGTTCTGGGTCTAATCAACACAACCAACTCACATACAAGCATTCCTATGCATACATCCACTGAGGAAGGTGTGAAAATGACAATGTTGCATCAAAAACAAATCAGAGGATAGTACACACGCATCCACCATTCACAAGACAAGAGGATTGAGTTCCCTTACATCCGGGGATTACCCAGGAAACTAATGGAAGAGTTCCGGTAGAAGTTCTTATGTGCGGAAAATCACGAGGATTCACTTTTGTTCATAGGAGAGACGGACTCATAACACATCGTCATTCAAATCAGAGAGAGAGATGGGAGAGATAGACGAGAAAGGTCGAGACAAGAGACACCGGAATCCGACAAGGGAACATTCGGCTTCACAGCCATGAACTCACACCAAAAAAAATGATCCGCAACCATGGAGGCGCATTCGCTATGAAATTCCAGTATGGCCCTGGACCAATGATCCACTCAGCTCGAATTACCAATCCTCATACCCGCACCGACGATCCCGGCCGTCACGTGCTAACTTCAGCCGCAGCGATCGTCATCCCGCTGACGCAAGCTCGACACGGCTCGCCCGGATCCCACAGTCCGTCGTGGCGATCAAGCGCGCAACCGGCCAGCGCACAGTCAGCCCGACAGGACTTTTCGACTCGCACCAAACGCATCACCTAGCCACTGCTTCCCGGAAGCTGGCTTGCGAGTGGAAAACGTAAGAGAGTTTTGCGGGCGCGTTTGCAGAATTTATAGTTGCGAAAAAGAAGACAGACGGGGGAGAAGACAGAGGGGAAATCGAGGTGTAAGAGGAGAAGATTCAGCGAGGGGTGCTCAAGGGAAGCCATGTTGATCCTTCGGAACTCAATGTTCAGCCAATCAGATTCGTCGCGCAACAGGAATTCCTTTTGCTCAACGCGTCTGATTGGTGAGCGGGGTTAATCGAAGGATCAACCGGGTTTCGTGAGCCAAGGTTGAAGATCGAGAAGGAAAGAGGCGCGAAAAGTAGCGCGAGACGGGTCCAAGATTCAGATGATCAAGAAGGGAAAACAGGCGCGCAAAGAGTAGAGAGAGGGAAAAACAGTTGCAATAGGAGAAGAAGAGGAGGGAGAAGGGAGAGAGAAGAGAGCGCGGGGGAAGAATAATGCGAAAAATAAGGAGGAGGAAGCTCGCATGCGCGGCGCCGACAACAAGAGAAAAAATGGCACCAAAACAGTTACAGCTTGCCTATGTCCTACACCAATTCAAAAATTGAAATTGCCATATCCGCGCGCGAAAGTCGACGCGGGAAAAGAAAGTCCTATCCCTATCCATATTCTCACAAAATTCCTGGAGTTTTCTCCGACGTGACCGAGAACATTCATGCAAAGAAAAAGACACGTCGGGTTCCGATTATTCCGGAATTCCTAACTGTCGAGCCCGATTCCTAGTGCGTTCGCTCAGGCGCGCGTAATTTCCCATGCATTTCCCCGAATTACAAAGAGCAGAATTCCAAGAATCAATAGAACCTCCGAAAAATGAGGGCCTAAACAAGGCACCTGAAATCAAGAAAAGCGCCGGGGGTTTGTTGGGTCAGTATGATACAAAAGGGGGAATTGAGTCAAGGGGTACGAACGATAGCACGGGGTCGGGAAGTGGTTCGTCACAGACTAGGAGCTGGGAAGGAAGAATAAGCATTAGGGTTACCCTCTCATCATCACTGTCCAAAACACTGTAAAGAGCCTTTGTTGCCTAGATGAGTTTCCCACCACGCACCCAACGGATACAACTCTAGTTTGCTCCTCACCGTCGTCCAAATCCCGTGAGTTTCACCTTAAACTACTGCAAACATTCCAACATCAAAACCAATATAAACCAAATTCCTACACACCCACAATACCATAGCCCATTACTGTCATGTCCAAACTGTTCATATTACGTGTTTCACTAAAGGCGATGTATGTAACAGAACCGAAAAGAACAATACAAATTTCACTTCCCGCGGAATTCAGAAAAGACCAACATACCGAGGGATAGCGAAGAGCTGAAATACGACTGAAAGACAGCAGCACAGAAATTATACTAGCCTAGAAAACAACTAGAAAACTAGGTCAATGTTTTCTACAGAAATCCGTAGTGAATATAGCCACAAATAAACATAACCGCACCCTTTCGAAATCCAAACAGATAACAATGTGTCCCTCATCAGTGTGAAGGCCGCCCTCTCATCATCACTGAGTTTCCTAGACGGGTTTCCCACCACGCACCCTATGGACACAACTCAAGTTTGCTCTTTTTCTGGGTCTCTGTTACCACCAAGCCAGTAGAGTTCCCACTGCCTCTTGTTGCACTCTCACTGCTCCTCGAGGCACTGGTACTGGTAGTCCCGTGAGTTTCACCCTAAACCACTACAAACATTTCAACCTCAAAACCAATATAAACCAGATTCCTACACACCCACAATACTATAGCCCATTACTATGTCGGAAGTGTTTACCTTACATGTTTTTAAATACGAAACTCTAAAGGCTCGAAACTGAAAGGAACACTAGAATTCACGAAACAACAACATACCAAGGAATGGTGGTGCCCTAAAATACGGCTGAAAGACAGCAGCACAGAGCAAGCTCTCCCACTGCTTCTGCTGATGCTGCTGCCAACCTTTATATAGTTGATCTCAAAGTTGATGTATCCACCTTGGAGAATCGTCTGAGCAGAGATGAAGGATGGAACCATTAGGACAGCCAAGTGTAGAGTGTATCAGGTTGTGTCCTTGGCAGTGTCAGCAGCACTCCCACCGCCATCGCAAGCCCTCCCACTGCTTCCGCTGACACTGCTGCCAACCTGGCGTGAAGAGGTGAGTGGAGGTGAACCACGCTCCTCTTAGGTTGTGCGAACCACATCTGTTTCCAAGAGCTAAAGAAGAATAGCAACCGCCTCAGGGTGATGTCCAACGGCCTCCGGGTTCTGCCCTGGTCCCCGAACAGAACGCACCCTAGTTTCGGCTGCAGAGGACCGGAAAGATAGCCCGTATGCATCCGTTATCAGGGTGCCTAGTGCTGGAGGAGGAAGACGGGGTCCATTCGAAACGAAATAGCGAGCAAGTTTACAGTAACTACCTATAAATACATACGGTTCCCTGAATACTGTCACTATAAAGGGACCCATTACCTATTCCAGAAGGTTGGCATCTGTTGCCAGACTGATGATCGACTGGACTGATTGCACCTGTGATCTCCGCCCGTTAGTCCCGAAGACGGGTGGACCCTCCGCTGTCAAAGCCAACTCGGAAGACCGCGAAAACGAGGGAGCTGAACGTGGTCGTGACACAGGCACAGAGTGTACTACAGCAATCTGTCTTTCCTACTGCGGCAATGACGACGCTGCTGCTGCTACTGCCGCTGTTGCTCCAGCTGGCCGCCCAGGGAGCCGCTACCACTTGTCCGCCGCCCGGATTGGTGAAGATTGAATCGCTCAGCTGTGCAGGCAGCGGCTGTCCTCCCGGGACTGCTTTCGGCTACATCTCGAACGACGGTCAGGCGCTGACGGTCGCGTTCAGCAAGTTCTACGCTTCCACGGACGAATTGCTGGCGGCCCGGAGACACAGCTGCGTGGTAAGGGTCAAGCTGAGCTATCCGGAAGAATTTTTCGTGTCGGTGGGGACGGTCACAACGAGCGGGTACATGCAGCTTGATGCGGGCACCGTGGCGACCATTCAGACGTGGTACTACTTCTCCGGGCTGCCAGGGACGGCTCGCTTCGTGCGCAACTTCACAGGAGAAGTCGAGGAGCACTTCAAGGTCACGGACAAGTTCCTCACCCTGATTTACAGCAGCTGCGGCGTGTCCAGGGACCTCATTCTCGGCTTGGAAGCCCGGCTGACCCCTGGCCCCGGGTATCCGTCCGAGGGTAACGGATTTGTTGGAAGTGGCTCCGTGGATTGCTACTTCAACCAAGTCTGGAATCTCGTCTGGGGAAAATGCTAAGCAATGGCAGAGGTGAGCTAGTCTGGGAGGTGGCAAAGTGGTAGGGGAGGGAAGGGGCGGTTGGCGGGCGACAGGTAGTGGAAACGGTGAGTCTAGGGTCCGAGAGTCTGGTCGGCGGCAGTTGGAAAGGCCGTCCGATTAGGAGTGAGTGGGGGCGCGCCGCGAGCTGCTGAGTGTCGCGAGTGTCGCGAAGGAGTCCACTGGCGGAACCCTCCTATGATGCCCGCAATTTGGCACGAAGAGTGGGACGCGTAGCTCCGTACGAGGCGTAAGGTCATACACGTGATTCGGTCTTCATTCTGTTCAGGACTGGGAGTTGTGTGGGTCTTGTAGGCAGAAGCCGCATCACATAGAAGTTATGATAGGCGTGATTTGGGTCTCAGGTAAAACGGTTGTATTAAAGTCAAGTCTGTCTGTAGAAGCTTAACGATGATCGTGGCCAAAACAAAGATCGAACAAGTGGCGCCATTTCTCTCTCTCTCTCTCTCTCTCTCTCTCTCTCTCTCTCTCTCTCTCTCTCTCTCTCTCTCTCTCTCTCTNGTGTGTGTGTGTGTGTGTGTGTGTGTGTGTGTGCTTGTGTGTGTGTCCGTGTCTGTCTGTCCGTCTGCGTGTGTGTGTGTGTGTACTACAAAGACACATACATACTTTGTTTGCGCGATTTCATTTTGATTGGACGTGGTAGGTCACTTTTCCAATGGGCTGACTAATTGTGGAGGTAGGAGCAATCTCGCCCCTCGGTTGTGGTGGCGTCTCGTGCCAGGACCAGGGAGATGTGTTCGAGTACAATTTTCAAAGCAGGTTGCCAGAGAAAAAGTGGTTATTTGCGATGCTCCTGCTATCCACAATAGCGTTTCTGTATCTTTTTTTTTTATGTTCGTATTGCACAACAAATCACGCGTGTGTGTGTGCGTGTGTGTGTGTGTTTGTTGTCATATTCACTCTGTGTGTATGTGTGCGTGTTCTCATATTCGCTCTACACAACTCCACAAAAAAAAGTATGACTTTGCCACACCTTTTCGTCGGACTTTCACCAACTCATCAGGAGGTTCAACCGCGACAGTCTGCCCGGGATTCATCTGACTGATGGATAAGGATTTACCACCTCTCTCTCTCTCTCTCTCTCTCTCTCTCTCTCTCTCTCTCTCTCTCTCTCTCTCTCTCCTTTTCTCTTTGTTCCTTTCTCTCTTTCTTTTTGATGGACAAGTTGGTTCAACCTCGAAAGTCATGCTTTTTTTTTGTCGACTTGTGTATGAGAATGGCAGAGAAGGGGAGAGAAGAGCACAAATACCAGAGAAGGGGAGAGAATAGGAGGAAGAGCAGAGAACAGCAGAACTGCGCTGCCAAATGAGCGAAAAGGGAAAGCTCGAATCTAGCAGCTGTGCTGTTCTCTGCTCTTTCGGCGATGCTCCCTTCAAGTTGGTGGAACATTAGGAAGTTACTTTCGCCCAAGCGGCGAAGGGCCCGTGATGTGACGCATCTTTTGGCGGTGGGATTGTGAGAGGGATTGGGTTAAGAAGGGCCTTTCCCACAGGGCAGCCGCATAACATGACAGATAGAGACCTGTTCGTCAACAGGCCATGAGCTCGAATCTGGGCTCAACACGGATGTGTGTGTGTGTGTGTGTGTGAGAGAGAGAGAGAGAGAGAGAGAGAGAGAGACAGACAGAGACAGAGACAGAGACAGAGAGCTGGAGCAATGAATTT